GTCTCGTAATTATAAACCAACACAAGTAACATATAATACTCTAAAAACATACGGTAGCTCACTTAAATCTCGTGTGATGTTTGTGAGATACAGCCTTCTCCAAAACAAGGTACTATAAGTCTCGTAACTATAAACCGACACTAGTAACATATAATACTCTCCAAAACAAAGTACTATAGGTCCCGTAATTATAAACCGACACTAGTAACATAGAATACTCTCCAAAACAAAGTACTATAGGTACCGTAATTATAAACCGACACTAGTAACATAGAATACTCTCCAAAACAAAGTACTATAGGTACCGTAATTATAAACCGACACTAGTAACATATAATACTCTTAAAACATACGGTAGCTCACTTATATGGCGTGTGATGTTTGTGTAACGTATAATACTCTCCAAAACAAGGTACTATAGGTCTCGAAATTAAAAACCGACACTAGTAACATATAATACTCTAAAAACATTCGGTAGCTCACTTACATCTCGTGCGATGTTTGTATCATATGGTACTCCCAAAAATCAAGGTACTATAAGTCTCGTAATTATAAACCAACACAAGTAACATATAATACTCTAAAAACATACGGTAGCTCACTTAAATCTCGTGTGATGTTTGTGAGATACAGCCTTCTCCAAAACAAGGTACTATAAGTCTCGTAACTATAAACCGACACTAGTAACATATAAAACTCTAAAAACATACGGTAGCTCACTTAAATCTCGTGTGATGTTTGTGACATACAGCCTTCTCCAAAACAAGGTACTATAGATCTCGTAATTATAAACCGACACTAGTAACATATAATAATCTCCAAAACAAAGTAATATAGGTCTCGTAATTATAAACCGACACTAGTAACACATAATACTCTAAAAACATACGGTAGCTCACTTATATCTCGTGGGATGTTTGTATCATATAGTACTCCCAAAAAAACCCAAGGTACGATAGGTCTCGTAACTATAAACCGACACTAGTAACGTATAATACTCTCCAAAACAAGGTACTATAGGTCTCGAAATTAAAAACCGACACTAGTAACATATAATACTCTCCAAAACAAGGTACTATAGGTCTCGAAATTAAAAACCGACACTAGTAACATATAATACTCTCCAAAACAAAGTACTATAGGTCCCGTAATTATAAACCGACACTAGTAACATATAATAATCTCCAAAACAAAGTACTATAGGTCTCGTAATTATAAGCCGACACTAGTAACATATAATACTCTAAAACATTCGGTAGCTCACTTATATCTCGTGCGATGTTTGTATCATATGGTCCTCCCAAAAAAACAAGGTACTATAAGTCTCGTAATTATAAACCGACACTAGTAACATATTATACTCTAAAAACATACGGTAGCTAACTTATATCTCGTGTGATGTTTGTATCATATAGTACTCCCAAAAAACCCAAAGGTACTATAGGTCTCGTAACTATAAACCGACACTAGTAACATATAATACTCT